AATCGGGCAGCCAGGATGCTAGCACAGGTACCAAGGCATGTGCAGATGTTGGGACATTTCGCACTCATGGCTCCCATTGCTTCATAGATCTGTCCTTGTCTCTTAAGCTCTCCAGGACCCTGCGGACTAAAACTCCCCAGCAGTGCTGAAGCCTTTTACACTAGCTCCACACTGTTGTAGCTCTGTGATCTTTCTCTTACTTGTCCCTGGACCTTGTGGGGTTGAAATTATGCAGGAGTCAGGGAATCAGCACTTTCACAGTGTTGCTCAAGAGTAGAGAGGTTTCTGCTTTGCTTCTGGGATAGATTTCTGTGTGGTTTTGGCAGTTGTGGCAGCGGATTAAGCCAGTGTCTGTGCAGTAATGTACATGGCCTTCTCTTGTGCCTCACTGATCGTGCCTACTTATTGCTGTGGCTGTGGAGCTTGGACTACTCACTCCCTACACGAAAAGTGTGACCGGGTCCTCTCCATCCTTCCACTGCTGACTGTGACACGTGGACTGCACTTACGTTTCCATCTGGAACAAACCTGCATCTCTGTGCAGTGAGGTATTTGCCAGTGCAGACTCGTTTATCTATGTTGTGCTATGGATTTTAACAGACCGCACCCCAGCTACTTAATACTGATATGATTGCACTGAGACCCACACAGAACCAGACCAGACCTTCTGACACAAGAGGAGTCTTTATTGGGTGGGAGAGTGACACCACTCTGTCCAGCAGACTAGGACAGCCCTGAGCTGAGCAAAGGGTGAGGTTTTTAAGTCATTTTTGGGGAACTGTGTCTGTGGGCCAGAACGCTTTCCAGGAATGGGTGTCAGTGGGCCAGAACTGCCCAAGCAGTGTGGGTTGTTGAACGTCTGTTCTGCCAAGGTAGATGAGGACAGGGCTGGCTTTTGTTGAGGGGAACTGGAGGGGAATAGGTGAAGAGGAAAGAGTTTTTATTAACTCTTTAATAAAGAGTTTAAATCCCCCATGGGCGGGGTGAGTTGCCTTATGACTTATCATTTCAGACTTGACCTAACAAGGATATGGGTGATATGTCTTGTCGGTAGCTACTTCCTACTGAGGATGGGCATAGTTAGGTTTGCTTTAGGGTATTTTATCCGGATTGTCAGTTGGGACTGGCTAGAATTGGAAATCTGAAAGAAGCATAAGGTTAAAATTTTGGGTTGTTAACTTTTGGACCGTGTTGTGAATGAGGAAGAAAACGCAGGGTGTTGTGAGAAAAGTACAAATGGTGGTGAGGGGTCTCAGCGGTGCCCAGGTGGGTAGAGGAATTGGTTGGGCTGAACCTGCAAATGAGCTGAGTTTTTGTCAGGCTTCGGTGAACATTGTTCTGCATAGGATCGGAGGAGGTGGTGCGTAAAGGAGAAAAGATGCAGGTAATTAGTGAGAGGGCTTGGAGCAGCAGGGGAAAGCTGAAGAAGGAAAAGCCATCCATACATGAGTTTGAAGGGGTTGAGGCCAGAGGGTTGGTGGGAGGCAGCGCGAAGCTGGGTCAGAGCCATAGGCAGGAGGGATGGCCATGACTGCTGAGTCTCTATGGAGAGCTTAGAGAGATGCACCTTAAGGAGATGGTTAGGTTTTTCTACCTTACCAGAAGACTGAGGGTGGTAGGGAGTACACAGGGCCCCCTGGATGTTAAAGGCCTATGAAACTTCTTGAGTGACATTGGAGATGCCTCCCAGTCCACTAACCAACTGAATGGATCAGGGTAGGCTGAAATGGGGAATGATTTCTGTGAGAAGGGTCTGTGTGACGGTGTCTGCTGTTTCATGTGTCGTGGGGAAGCCTATCCATCCTGTGAATGTGTCCACCCAGGTGAGGCTGCATTGAAGATTTTTGTGCCTGGGCATGTGGGTAAAGTCAATTTGCCAGTCTTCTCATGGTAGTGTTCCCCTAAACTGGTGTGGGGAAAAAATGAGGGCAGGTTGAAGAGAGCCTTGTGGGTTTGTTTTGGAGCATACTGTGCATTGTGAGATGTCCTGCAATAAGGATGTTAGGCCAGGATAGAAGATGATGGGGTCTGGGAGCCTTTTTAGTGGTCTCCAACCCATGTGTAGAGAGTTGTGTAGTTGGCTAAGGAAATGTCAGGTGTGGTCATCTGGGAGATAGCACTTCCCACTCAAGAGGAGCCACCCTCTGGGCAAGGGGAAGCATCTTTCTGGGACAATTGTTTGAGCTGTGTGTCTGAGTAGGTAAACCTAGTGGGAGATAAAGGGGGGGGGCAACTAAGGCCTGGGAGCTAAGAGGGAGATGGGGGGGTGCCATGGGTTGACGACTACCAACCTGGCTGTTTTATCTGCCTGATTGTTTTCTTCTGTGATTTTGTCAGTGACCTGTTGATGGCCATAGCAGTGGATGATGGCAACCTGGGTTGGAAGGGTGGCAGCTGAGAGGAGTTGAAGGATTAAATTTCCATTTTGAATGGAAGAGCCTTTTGTGCTTACAAAACCACTTTCTGCCCAGATGGCAGCATGGTGGTGGACTATGTAGTAGGAGTATTTAGAGACTGTGTGAATGTTTACAGTGGTTCCCAAGGCCAAGGTCAGGGCACGGGTGAGGGCTATGACTTCTGCCTTTTTTGATGAAGTGCCAGGGAGAAGAGGATTGGCCTCAATGGTTTGGGTCAAGGAGACTATAGCATATCCTGCTCAGGGTCCATCTGGGCTAGAGGAGGAGCTCCCATCTATGAACCAGGTGTGTTGGGCTTGGAATAGGGGTTGGGTATGAAACAGGAGTGTGGGGACTGTACATCTGAAAGAGGAAGATGAGATGCTGGGTTGAGGGCCCCAAAGAGCTTTAGTGAAACCTGAGTGTTGTTGATGAAGGTGACGTGAAAAAGTTGGAGGTGAGAGGAAGCTAGAAGGTGTAGAGCTTGATGTGAGAGAAGGTCCATAAGACAGTGGGGGAAATAGACTGTAATCTGCCCCTGGACTGAAGTGTTAGTTTTTGGGTTTCCTGCATCAGGGTGGCAGTGTCCTCCAGAGCCCTAAGACAAGGAAACCAACCTCGAGTTGTTGGGTCCAGCTGTTTAGACAGATATGCTATGGGGGCAAAATCTGGGCCCTTGTATTGACCCAAGATTCCTAAGGCTGTCGCATGAGATTCTGAAGTGAATAAGTGTAAGGGTTGGGTTGGATCAGAAAGGGTAAGGGTGGGTGCCTTCAGAAGCAGAGCTTTGATCTTGGTAAAGGTCCAGAGAATGAGGCAGGAGTCTGCTAGGGTTTTATCCTCTGGTCCATGAACAACATCATGCAGTGGCTTAGCCAGGAGTGTGAAGCAGGGGACCCACAAGTAGAAGTACCCCGCAAAGCCAAAGAAAGGTTGGACCTGTTGTTTTGTAGTAGGGGGTGGGACCAAGGAGCAGAGAGCCTCCCTGAGGTCGACCGTGAGATCCCTTGTGATGGATGTAAGTTGGAACCCGAGATAATGGACTGAAAGGAGAGAGAGCTGTGCCTTTGTTCTGGAAACATGGTAGCCCTTTTGGGAGAGGAAGTTTAGGAGTAAGGTGGTGTGAATGTGAGAAAGGTGAAGAGAGGGGCTGCATAGGAGCAGGTCAACTACATATTGGAACAGGTGACCAGGTTTGAGATCTAAGGTTTCCAGATCAGTCATGAGAGCCTGGCCGAAGTAGTGTGGGCTGTCCCAGAACCCCTGTGGGAGGATGAGCTAGGGTAGTTGTGAAGTGATCTGTGTGATGGGGTCTTCCAAGGTAAAGGCAAAATGTGGGTAGGAGGAGGGGTGTAAGGGAATAGTGAAGAAAGAGTCCTGAAGGTCGAGAAGTGAGAAATGGGTTGTGCCTGGTGGGATATGGCTGAGAAGTGTGTATGGGTTAGGGACTACAGGGCTGACAGGGCGGATAGCTGAGTTAATGATGTGGAGGTCTTGGACAAGCCTGTAAGAGTTGTTAGGTTTGATTATGGGGAGAATAGGGGAGTTGTATGGGGAGAGTGTAGGGGTGAGGAGTTTTTGGTCGAGGAGCCGGTCAATAAGGGCCTTCAACCCTAGTCAGTGTCTGAGCAAAATAGGGAACTGGGGGGGGGGCTTGGGAAAACTGGAGGGATCCTGGGTAGTCACAATAACGGGACAATGGTGTCGAGCCACTGCAGGTTGTGAGGTATCTTAACCATTGGATTGACATTGTCAAATGGAAAAGGAGGGGTCTGTCTGGTTATCTGTGGGTGGGGACAGGGGAAATGGAGGAGGCTAGCAGCAGCGATGGCACAAAGGGTTTTGGGAAGGAGAGTGTGATGTGTAGTTTGGCGAGTGCATCCTACCACAGTAAGGGAGTGGGACACCTAGGCATTATGAGGAAGGAATGGGTAAATAACCTAGAGCCAGTCAAGCAAGGTAGGGGCCTATGGTGAGGGGCAGTGGGGAGAAACCCCAACCCCAACAACCATGATATTTGATGGGAATATTTGACCAGAAAAGCTGGGAGAATGTGTCAACAAGGAAGGGAATTGACTCACCTGCCACCTGGACCTTTACCTTGGGCTCCTCAGAGGACAGCAGGATCTCACTGGCCTTGTCAGCAGAGGCTTGGAGTACCAGCCCCATCAGTCCTCTCCAGGCAATCCAAGCAGGTCCGTCAGGGCGGACTGAGGTTTGGGCTGCTGAGCAGGGGCAGAGGACCCCTCCCATTGTAGGAAGGGGAAATCTACCTTCCAGTGTCCAGTTTGTTTCCATTGTGGGCAGGATCTCAGGGGCAGTAGGGGATTAGGGCACAACTGTGCCCAATGGCCCTTTTGTCTACATTTGAAGCAGGCCCCTGGAGGCTGCTTGTCAGTTGGGAGCCGATCGGACTGTTTGGGGCCTGAAGCTTGAGAGTTGCTGCAAGGAGTGAACATTTTTATTTGGTGTGGGCAAGTTTTTCCTCCTTTTCCGTGTCTTCATGGCCATTAAAGACCTTAAAGACCAGGTTTAAAAGCTCACAGTGGGGAGTGTTGGGTCCCTCCTCAAGGCATTTGAGTTTTTTCTAATGTCAGGTGTTAACTAAGAGATGAAGGAGGTGTTGAGGACCAGTTGGCCCTCTGTTGAGGTTGGGTTGAGGTGTGTAAATTTAGTGAAGGCCTCCGATAGGCATGCCATGAAGGCGGTGGGGTTTTCAGTGGGTTTCTGTTTGATTTCACGCAGCTTATCCCAGTTTACCGCCTTACGGGCTTTCTTTTTGAGGCCTGCCAAAGGGCAGATCATTCGATCTTGGGCTAGAGGACCTGGAGTGTTGGGTTGGTAGTCCCATCAGGGATCAACCCTAGGGACTGCCTGTTCCCCCATGGGAAGGTCTGATCTGTATGGTGTGTCTTATCTGCACGGGCCCAGGCGGCTAGCCACATGTTCTTTTTATCCTCTGGGCTGAGGGTGGATGAGAAAAGAGTGTAGAGGTCATTCCAAGTAAGTTGGTACATTTGGGTCAGGTGTTGGAACTCTGGTGTACGAGGAGGGGTCAGAAGTGAAAGCCGAGACCAAGGTTGTGAAAGATCGGGGAGTGACCAAGGTTGATGGACATAGACGAGTCCCTCTGCTCCTGCCACTTGTCTCAGAGGGAAAACCCCACATAGGGGCAGGAGGGGAGGAGCAAGCAGAGCAGCCCACGAGACAGTTTTGGAGTGGCTGTGGGAGGTAGGTGGGGAAGGGAGAGGTGACTCAGGGGTTGAGTTCACCGTGGAGCCATATCTGGAGGGACATCAGGGTTGGCCTGGGGAAGGGCTGATCATTCCCTAAGGGGTGGGTCATCAAGCGGCTCAGGGAAGGAGGAAGTTTGGGAAGGGTTGTCAGAGAGGAGGTGTTGCAAGGCAGGGAATTTAGCCTGGAGAATCTCCTGGAGGCTACATGAAAGAGAGTTGAGGCTTGTTACAAAGAGGGAAGAAAGGTTGGACATAAGGCAACTTGGACCACTTATCATTTCAGGGACAGTAATTGTCTAAGCCCCGCAGGATGTTGAAGTCAAGAGTACCCTCAGGTGGCCAAATAGACTCATTCTCTACTTTGTATTGTGGCCAAAACAACCTGAGTGGCCTGGGTTGTTCCTCAGAGTTGAACATCTGGTTCAGCCAAGGTGGATGTGGTTGGGGCTGGCTTTTGTGGAGGGGAACTGCGGGGAAACAGGTGAAGAGGAAGGAGTTTTTATTATTGAGAGCTTAAGTCCCCCACAGGGAGGCTGCCTTAAGACTTATCACTTTCTTCCTTTCTTCTTTTTTATTTGGGTCTCACTATGTATTATTGCAGGTTGGTCTTAGACTCTGTGTAGCCCAGGATAAGGCGGGAGAGCCACAGATCAAAACCAACCTGTGAAATGTAACAACTTCACCAGGTCTCAGTCTTAAAATAAAAAATAAACAGGGATGGAGATGCAATTGAAAGCAATGGCTCTGCATTCAGCAGTTAGAATCACAATCAGTCAGTCAGTCAATCATTCAGCATTAAAATGGAAAAATCAACTAAAAATATGCTGAAGTGGTAGATCAATGCAGAGTCCCCAATCTTAGGACCACCACCAAAAACAAAATCAAAGTTATGACAGTATTATAAAAAAAATGATGTCACCCCACAGAGCACAGGAGAGAAATCACTGTCTATAAACAGTTGACTTGGAATTTTGAGGATCATATGCCAATCAGCATGGCAAGGTAGAGCCAGTGAGGGTGTGAGAGATGCCCACAGAACTGGGCCCCAGTAAGAAGGGGAGGTAAGCAAGGAGCTGGACATTTCCACTGGGACCCCATGAGGGACCCAATATAAATGATTCCTCTGTTATTGAGGAATCAGGTCTGAGGACCAGAAGACTTTTCTCTGAATGAGGCTAAGAAACTAAATGGGAGTTCCTACAAAGAGCAATACTAACGTTTTTTTTTTTTTTTTCCTACCAGCAGCAGTGGCTGAACCTGGAAGGTGCTGAGCTACATCCCCAGAACTTTTAAAATATTTGAGACAGGGTCTTAAGAAGTTATGCAGACTGGATTCAAACTCATTATCCAAGGGAGCACATGGTGCTGCACACCTGTAATCCCAGCACAGGGGAGGATGAAGCAGGAGCATGACCACATGTTTGAGGCCAGCTTCAGCTACACAGTGAGGACAAGGCCAGCCTGACCTATACAGCCGGTCACTGTCTCAGGACAGAAATGAAGAAAGTATTTGTGGCCTGTCTGTCTCAGCCTCAAAGTTAGTGGCATTATATGCCCTGTAACAATACACAACTCAATGTTGAGTTTTTTTGCCTTATTGAGACATGGTTTCACTATGAAGTTCAGGCTGCTTTGAATTCACCTTGAGTCGTAGGCTGTCCTGCAACTCATGGTGATCCTGATCCTTCTGCCTCAGCCACCTGAGTGCTGGGATTACAGATGTAGGTCACTATGTCCTGCTACAGTGGTGACTGTTAAGACCCAGCAGTATCCCTGAGGGCAGGGAGGGACACTTATTCTTTTGTGCCAAAAGAGAAAAGAGGTGTTTCCAATGGGACCAGCAGAGTGAGCTGGCTTGAGAAGGTGAGATCTCAGACAGAAGCTTCTGCAGAGCTGAGTGTGCAGTTCCTATGGGCAGAAGAGGGGGTCACACATGTCAAAGTGTCCTTGGGGAGGTTGGAGAGGAGGAAACACAGGTCCAACCCCAAGATCCTGTCATCCTAGTGTATCTGACCCATGGCCTTTGCCTTTAGTATCAGGGTTCTTTCCACAGGGAACATTTCCAATGCAGGATGGTTCCACAGTCAGTCATCAGGGCTTTTAGACTGAAAGAGAAGAATATGAGGCTGAAGCATATATATTTTGACTAAAAATAAATTCAGGAATTGAGGTATACTGGATCTAAATGAACTAAAGGACTTGTGACTTTCTCTGTGTTTCATGCTACTGGCAGTTAAGCTATGAGCCTCAGCACTAAGCTGCATCCCTGTTCAGTGTTTTGTTTTCATACTCTATGGTGTTACTTCAGCCCGATAGAATGCCTGCTCCCCCAACTGCTGCACAGGAAAGCATTTGTCAGCACAGTCAAGGACCAAAAACTAAGTATCCTAGATGCACTCATGACCAGGGTCATGGATTTTGGTGTCAGGGTAACACCATGGATTCCAGCGAAGGAGTTTTCCCATTGCTCTTAGCCTGTTCCAGGCCTTGCTGTGGCCCTTGTGGCACAGGATCCTGCCACCAAATGTTTGCTGTCACAGTATCTCCCAAGGACTTTCTTTCCCAGGAAGCTTCCCACTTATTTCTCACACCTTGGGTTCACCAGTGGCTCCCACAGCAGGCAGGCTCACAGCTTCAACACTGCCCAGAGGAACCCTGCATTACAGAGTTAATCCCATACATGCATTTCATGTTGGCAACCACAGATTAATCCAAAAGAAGGACACAGAAATGAGGAGGAAAAGCTGAGCATAAAGATCCACGCATATAATCATAGCTTTGTGGAAAGTAGGAGGAAAGATAAGTGCAAGTGAAGACCAGATATCTAGAAGGTCATTGTCTGGAAACAGATATTTCTGTGGCTGCGGCTCAGTTGGCAGGCTATAGAATAAGTCCCAGTGACAAGGGTATGTTAGGAAGGGGGAGAAAAACCAGGAAGCATGGAGGGAACCTGTGGCTGGAGAAACCAAAAAATGGGACGGAATGAACAACATGGAATATCTCTATTTATTGCCATGAGCTCCCGAGGCCAAATCACATTGACCAGACAACTCAGGGCCTTTTCTCCCCAGTGACTGCAGATTCATGAGCTCTGAGCTGGAAACTGGGACAAATGAGCATGGAGGAAACCACATGATTCACATGCAAATCTCTTTTGGACTTCTCCTCCAACTCTGTCCAGGGTGAACAGATCCCCCAAACTAGGTGCCCGCAGATATATAAGAGAAAAGAAAACCAAGAGAGCCAAAATCCTGTGATCAGGTGCTAGCAGCCTCTAGGACTGACTGACTCCTGATTAACATCTTCAGCAACCTTTTTATTCAGAATCAACCCAGGAGGCAGCAGAGGAATTGGAGGATATCAACCCTTTTAGCAAGGACAATACAACTCAATTATCACAGGTTTTTTTTTTTTTTTTTTTTTTTTTTTTTTTTTTTTTTTTTTTTTTTTGGTTTTTTTTTCTCCGGTACCGGGAACTGAACTCACGACCTTGCGCTTGCCAGGCAGGTGCTTTTGCCACTGAGCTGAATCCCCAGCCCCTCAATTATCACAGGAATGCGACCTGATCAGTAAGACATCAAGTTATCTTCCTTCGCCCATGTCTCAGCAAAGCACCTAGTATTGATCCCGGGGCTTACAATGCTTATGCTAGACTTCCTCCAGAAGCCAGCAACCATGGCTTGGTCAGGCCTCAAGCAGTGCACAAAATAGTAACTACAATGTCCTTCTCCACAAATCTCTTTATTTTTGAGATGAATGTGTGCATGAATGTGTTTGCATTCATTCACACATTCATCTCAAGCCTGAATTGACATCTAAGAACTCAAATTCCTAGATCTGCTCCTGTCTAGGTCCTCAGTCCACAAAGATGATATAATCTCAAGGCAGTGATTCTCCAAGGTTGCTGCCTGCTGGCTCACCTGTGCTTTTCTCACTCACACTGAAAGAAGAGTTCTGTATTCCTGGATCCCAGCAGGAAATGTATCATATGTGCATTCATCTAGATGGGGATGCAGGCTGCACATGGAGTCTGGTGCTTATTACAGAGTTGCCAGGTGCAACAGACTTCACAGTGAACAATACAAAACCAGACTGTCCTGGGGTGGTTTAGTGGCTTCACGATCCTACTCAGTGCTTTGTGAACCTGGTTCAGTCTATGTTGGAGGGCACCATTCCTGGGAACATAAACTTCTTGAGGAATCGAATGCATCTCCAGGGTTAAGTTGCTCAGCCTGGCAGTGTGGCACAGCAGCTTCTTCATGATGTCTATGGATATAAAATTCCTTACAAAGCAAAAGGTAGTGAGCTGGGAGCAGCAGCTCAGGGAAGGCAGAAAGGCACACACCTGCTCATCTGTGATCCCACAGTTTTCCAAGTGCAGGGTGGTCAGGGTGGCTGCAACATTTTTGAGGAGAATTTGGAGAGACTTAGGAGCAAAGTCAGTCAGCCTGACATAACTCAGATCCAAGTGTTTTAGCCAATAGGTCTGCTCAGCCTGGGGGAGCTGGATCCAGTCAGAGTGTGAGAGCTGGCAGTGAGTTAATGAGAGGGTCTTCAGCGGGAACGGGAGGCACCTGCAGAGAGACCAGACAGTTAGATGTGCATTTGGTGGGAAAAAGTAGGGAATGGCGGGAACAACAAGATGATGTACCAAGTATCACATGTGTCAGCCTAGACCTGGTGTGGATTTACCATCACCTGCTTGAGTGAATCTTCGATCTCCCCAGTCCCCTTTCCTCACTCCCAAGCAGAAACCACAACTCTTTCCTGATGAGGGCAGCAGGAGCCAGGCAGGACGCAAACATCAGGCAGGATGAGGCCACAGCTACTGGGCTCGCCAAAGAGGCTGCCAGCAATTTGTGTGCCTGTTCCCTGTCCTGTACCTGTGCTCCTTGCCCTCAGCCTCAGACCCCTGCACCTCCATCTGGTCACCAGCCCATCCTGTGGTACATGCTTCTCATGGGGACTGCTGGGGCATCAGAGAGGTCTTGGTATTTCTCAGCACCTTCCCTTACGTGGGGTTCTTAAGGAGGAAGTCACACACTCACCCTCACTGTGTCTGACCCCTCATCCTGGAAACCTAGCCTAGTGGCCCTGTCCAGTCTGGCTCATCTAGTATACTGGCTCAGGGACACTGTGTGCAGCACTGAGGAGTGAAAAGCCAATGGGCTTATTCTCTAGTGTTTGATCACTATCACATCTCTTGGATGCATTCTGTCCTTATTCAGCCATCTTCCTAGAACAGAGAAAGGATTTGTGACTGCAGGGAGAGCTGCACACCTTACCTGAGTACCCAGTCCAAGTGACCTTCCAGGAAGTCAACAGCTTCCATATACATCTCTTGTAGACAGTGAAGTTTGATAAACTGAGAGGTGATTTGGGTAAATAACTGCTCCGTCTTTTCTGGGGAAAGGATTGCAGGCACAGAGATGTCAGAGAGAATCAGTTTTTGTAGATTGCACATCTGGCCCAGGAAAGGGGCAAACTCAGCCAAGGTAAAGAGTGTCCAGCGGCAACCCACATTCAACTCCTGCACAGAATCAAGGTTCAGTGTTGGTAGGACCTCCGTGACCATTTTGGTACATGTGGTTGTAACCCAGAGCTTCTGACAGTGCACCTGCACCAGATCTTCCCTCTCCTGCACCCACTTGAGAAGGTAGGGGTCAACTGGACATAGATGTTGCTGATGCAGACACAGATCTAAGATGACGGTGAGGGGCTGCTTTTTTGCTCCCCTTGACCCAGGCTCCTCTCCTTTGCTCTTCTTAATGGCTTCTTCGGAGCAGACTTCCAACTCATTTCCAGCCCAGACTCTCCAGAAATTCTGCTGCTTGTCCCGCATATCTAACACCTGCAGTTTCAACCTCCTGTGGGTGAAGCAGAAATGACTCTGAGAATTTAGGCCAAGACCCAGGTTCCTCCAGTGCTTTCCTCATCTCTGAGGTCCATGGCTATCTCCACTACACTTTCTACACTGTAATTCTCTGCTTCTCTTTTCCCTCGTGGGTCCAGTCCAGTCCAGACTCCCGGTGTCCATGGGAGGAGTCAGGAACTTCTCGTTCCTTTCACCTCCACCATCAGCTGAGCTTCCAATCTGGCAGTGCCTGCCCAGGTGGGCCAGCAATGCCCGAGGCTTCTCTGATCCTCTGCCAGGCACATTCAGAAGCCACTGCTTCACCCTTTTGCCCCCACTATTTGTGACACTTTCTGCCCTTCCTGGAATTCAGGGCCCTCCCTGCAGGATACTGGGGCTCCACTCACCTGGAGGGAACCTTCTGGCTCAGCAGCACATCAAGCCCATCCAGCACAGCGTGGAACATCCTTTCTGGCATCTGGCCATCATCCACCTGAGTGTCCAAGGTCTCTACTTTCCTCATGCTCATCAGCGCTCCCATGGGCAGGTAGGGGAAGGGCCAGGACAGCACCATGGCCTTGAGGACCTCCCCATGTCCCCTGCTGAAGGCCTCCATGAACACTGGTGGGAAAAGTTCCCCTGGCAAATCTTCCAAGGCCTCCACTGCCAAGGACTTGTCCCTCAGCAAGCTCTGAACTGCCAGGATCCGTAGTAAGTGTGGGGACTGGGTGCTCATTGTGGTGAATCTGGAAGGCCAGCGGTGCTGGGGAAACACTGGGGAGAGAGACATCTTTTCAGGCAAGGCTTAGAAAATCCTTCTCTCCTATGAGGAAACAAACTTGCAGCCAAAAAGTCCTGATTTGACAAGGGTGGAATTGTACTCAGTCCATCCCACATCTATTTTGGTTTATGGTACCAGAGCCTTACTTCTGCCTACAGCAAGCCCAGAAAGAATGTCTGATGGTTCCCTGATGAACTAGGGTAAGAGCAAGATGCACATTTCCTACCACAGGACCCAGATTCTGGACCATCTGTGACATGAAGGCCAAGGAATCTGAAACTGACTACCACCAGGTTTGGGAAATATTCTGATCCTCGTCCTAAGGAAATAGAACCAAGGAAATGGAAAGTGCTATGGCCCAATCTCTAACTTCCCACTTCCCACAATGCACCTGGCTAAGAAAAATTAAGTAATGAATTTTTATTGTAAATAATTGCAGAATCCTGAATTCTCCTCTTAAACCAGAGCTGGCAGGAGCAGGTCTGCTCCGTCACCCTCTCCCTGTGGTTCCCTGGCCCATACATCACCAGGCAGTGGAAACAGACTGGGCAGGATGAGCACTCACTGGTATGAGCAGTGACTTGCAGATTTCTGGGGCCATGAAGCCCAGTGCTGGATGAAAATACAGTATAACCTCATGAAGTCACAGTTTGGAGTTTAGGGCCTTCGTCATTCCTGAATGTTCCTTTAAAATCTAATTAATGTTTGTTCACAGAAACCCTCTCAATTTTGTGCAAAGCAGAAATGTCCTCCACAGTTGTTTTTCATGGGAGGTTTGCAAATAGCCAATGTGAGTGCCTTATACGTTCTTCCTGCTGATCAAGGCTGCACTGTGACCCATCTCTGCAGATCGCCAGGGCTCCTGCATCATAACTGCCTGCTTATACAGCATGTATCAGTCTCATCTTGTCTTTACTTTGTTCTCCTTAAAGCCCTAACATCTCTAAGATGCTACCAAAGGCCCATGCACCTTCTGAAGATTTACTGATAGAAGGTTTTATTAAATTACATTACTTTAGTACACATAGCACATTTAGCGCTTGTGCAAAGCAGAAATGTATGACAACACATATTTATAGGCATGTTTCTGACCACCTCTGAAATTCCCAGCTTTTCACAATTCCCACGTGCTGCAGGAACAAAACCCCCATGAACGTCAGGGCTTCACTGTACATGGATGAGAAGCTGCTGGAGGTGAGGCTTGGAAGATGGAGAAGTATTCTGGAAAAGGGGAGAGCACATAAATGAGCTCAACAGAAGAGGAACTGTTTGGGGAAGGCAATGAAAACAAGGTGTGGTTTTGCACTGTGGAAATCTGGGGAACAGGAGTTATCTGAAATCAGTTCTCCACAACTGTGGTGTGTGGCTGTGCCCAGATTAGTAAATTCAGGTTTTCTCATCTGTGAATGGGGTTCACAGTTGTACCTGTTCATCTTTCATTCTTGGAGGGAAGTTCTACCATGTGTAGTTTGGATTGAGGATTTGGGCTGTCAGATTGTAAGGAAACCTCTCAGACTCCTCAGCATTTGTGTTCCTGCAATGTTCCTTACTCTTACCCTCTTCTTTGTCTCTCCAGTGAATCTGGGGAGGATCTCTCTCCACTGTAATGCCCAATGCTTCCCAACCCCAGCATAGCCTTGTCCTGCTGGTCCGTGATGCAGAAATCAATGGATCGTAATGACTTCCTCTCCTCCCATTTTGTCTCTGTGCCTGCCCTCAGGGAGCTATGTGGCCTTGGGAAGATGACCTACCCTTGCTCAGTTTTGCAACTCTGCAGTTCAGAGGATTAGCTCCTCCCTAAGTAGCTCATGGCCATGTGAGGTTAACACCAGAATTAATTTAGGCAAACCCTCGTGTCGCCCCTGGGAATGTACTGATATCAGCTAGGTGTGGTGGCCACACCTCTAATCCCAGCACTCTGCAGGTGGGGATGGAGGATCCATGGGAACTCAATGCCATCCTGGGCAACATAGTGAGTTTAAGGCTAACCCAGCCTGAACTACAAATAAAAAGCAAACAAAAGCACGATAACACTGTTTTCTGATATCTTGCTCTGAGGACTTGTGTCTGCCCTTCAAATCTCACTACAGCCCCCAAGGCCATGCTGGTGTTATCAACTCCTTCCTTGTAATATCTCACAGTTACAACTGATAAAGCAGATTGTCTGCTCACCACAAACCCAATGGGAAGGTCATCCCCTTTCTCTCTTCCTCCCAGGTCACAGGAATTTCCTGCAGCACTAAGAGATTTCCAGTGAGGGGTAGTAAAGGCTGTGTAGCAATGTTATAGACCATTTTCAAGTTAGATGAAAAATGCTGAGCTGTAAATACTCTCACCCTCTTCTCACATAAGTGAAGCTTATCAATTAAGGTTGGACATCGGCATGAAACACATCCACTTTTTTTTGTTGTTTTCCTATTTGAAACAGAGTCTGGCTGTACAATTCAGGCAGACATCGAACTCACTATGGAGCTTTGGTTAGCCTCAAACTCATTGGGATCCTCCTGCCTCAGCCTCCCAAGACGGCTGGGATTATAGGCATGGTCCACCACACCTAACTGACACATTTTCAAAAGATTGTATAGAAACGTTTTCAGCTTTTTGAGGAAAAGGAAATTCTAAGTTGTGCATTCATATGATCACAAACTTGATAATAGTTTTTCACAACACGAGGGAATGTATTTAAATATCCCATAAACAGCCGTGGTGCTGCGTGGACTTTATTCCAGCATTATGAGACCGAATGAGGCTGATCAGAGGTTCCAGCCCAGCTTGGGGAACTTGGTGCCTTTGGGAGACAAAAAAAGTTAGAAAGGTAATGAAATTTGCCTCATGCTGTGGCAGAGGTGACAGAACCTTCTCCTGAGATCCCCCAAAATTGATAGCTGTGGATGTAATAAAATGGGTTCTCAGCTAAGGTAACATGCTAACTTCTCAGAACAATAAACCATGAGCGATCATACAGCCATGTAAACCCCTACACTGCATGCAGAGGCAGGATAATCACAAATTTGAATTCATCCTGGAATATGCAGCATTTGAGAATTTGTACAAAAATGAAACATAATCAATGGGCTGAGATGTAGCTCAGTGCAAAGGTACTAAGTACTAATCCTTGTAGCCAAAATATTAACAAATTAATGGATCTAAAGTTAGGGCTTGATGGACAGGTATGGTGGCACAGGCCTCAAATCCAAGCACTTAGGAGGCTGAAGAGGGCATTACTGTGAGATTGAGGCCGCCATGGCATATAGAGCATCTTTAAGAACAGCTTGAATGACATAGTGAGAACTTCTCTTAAAACCCAAAAGGAAAAAAAAAAAAGAAGGGGCTGGGGATTTAGCTCAGCGGCAAAGCACCTGCCTGGCAAGCACAAGGTCATGAGTTCAGTTCCCGGTACTGGAGAAAAACAAACAAACAAAAAAAGAAACCAAAATATTTAGGCCAGGCATTGTGGAGCATGCTTGTAATGCCAGCACTAGGGAGGCTGAGGCAGGAGGATTTCTGTGAGTTTGAGGCCAGCCTGGGCTATGAAGTGACTCAAGGCCATTCTGAATGCATAGCAGAGACCTTGTCTCAAAAAGAGAAAAGAAAAAAAAAATAAAAAGATATTTATATATAGGAAAAAACAAACTATTTTAGATGAATGCAAATCTGCATATGAAGGCAAAAATCTAACCTCACATCTATTCATCTGAACCTGCAGATACAGGAACATTGATGGCATCCCTGTCTGCAGGTCAAGGGGAGACTGGCTAAGGGTAGAGGGGTGCATGTGCTCTGGAGGGTGGTGACTCACCAGGGATGGATGAGGTGGCCAGGTGCTCCGGCTTCCAGGAATTCAGGCAGTGACTCCAGGCTCCCAGGGCCTGGATGGCTCCTCAGAGGCTTTTATTGACTCCCGATCCCACCTCCCTCTTCAGATAGTGCTTTCCAATCAGTGTGGATTCTGAGCCTCCACCCAGGTAATCCTGTTGCTTCCGGCGTTCTACAGGTTAGTACAGACAGAGGAGGAGAAGTTCCAATTATCTTTTCTTTGTCTTTTTGTGACAGAGTCTTGCTATGCAGTTCAGGCTGGCCTTGATCTCACTTTGTAGCACAGGCTGGTCTGAACTTGCAAGGGTCTTCCTACCTCAGCTTCCCAAGTGCTGGGATTATAGGTGTGTGCCACCACGCCTAGCTAAAAGTTCCATTTTGACAATTAAGAACCACCCACTAGGTGTGCTGGCCCACCCCTGTAATCCCAACACTCAGCAGCCTGAGGCAGAAGGATCCTTGTGAGCTCAAGACCAGCCTGTGCTAAAAAGTGAGCTCAAGGCCTGGCCGAACTGCATAGTGAGAGCTTGTCTCAAAAAGAAAAAAAAAAAAAAAAAAAGAAAATTAAGAAGAAAAGGCTTGAAAATCCAGGACCCATGCTCTGATGGGCTCTACACCATTGCTGAGTTCTAATCTCATGCGACCATCATAGCTCTGTGTGAGATGGGACAGCAGGTTATGCTCTCCTGACACTGGCAGAAGAATATCAAAGTTGAAAATCTGTGGTTGGGGGATCTTTGGGCACATAGATAATATCAAAATATTCCAGATTTAGAACACCTGTGTAAGTGAGTCACTTCATCCTCAGGGTAAGCACAACAGCAAGTCTACATATCAGTGGTATCTTGAGCTCTGCATTTCCTGACAGTAGATCATGTGTCCATTCAGGGAGGAGAGGGACCACATAGGGTCGTGAAGACTTGGGTGAAAAGTAGGCCTGGTGGCCCCTGCCTGAAATCCCAGCACTCTGGGAGGCAGAGGCAAGAGTACTGCAAGTTTGAGCCAAGCTTGTGCAGTTTGACAATTTAGTGAGACCCTGTCTTAAAATTTAAAAATTTCAAAGATAAATGGGCTAGGTTTGGTGGCATTGTCCTGTTGGCTAGGTCAGAAAAATCACCATGAGTTTGAGGCCATCCTGG